TGTTAATTTAGCAACACTTGTCTCTATCCTTCCATATTAAGTCTTAAACTGGTAAAATATAAATCATTGCAGATCCATGAGCTAACAGGAGGTTATATGGCTGTGCTGCTGTAGTAGCAGGCTGCTTTTATTTTGTAGAGTTAGGAAAGGGTGTGAGGAGAGAAGCAGCAGGAGCTGCCTCTGGTGTTTGTTCCGTAGCTGTTCTTAACTTCCCTTTCTGCCCTCACACACTGCAGACAGCCTATTTTAAGGTGCACAGATGTTTCTACTACTCTAGTCCTGGGTAGTTGCTTAAGTGGCTTCTTAGAGCAGCTGTTCCCTTGTTTATGTCTCTGATGTTCATTTCATTGCAGTTCTTGGTTTTTTTTGGTGATGGGAAGATGAAAAAACCCCATGTGCTGATGCTCTGATGTTGTTTAGCCTTTATCAATTGTGTCATCAGTGGCGTCCTACCCTTCTGCAGGGGAGACATTTCCATTGTAGCTGGAGCCCAGTGTTGCCCTTCTCTGTCCCAATTTTGCTGTCAGCAGGGTGATTTCACCAAATGTGATGATGAGAGTGAGAAGATTTGCAGTAGGATTCAAGAGTTTAATGAAATTTCCCTGTGGTCTCTCCTCTTTCATCCTAGCAGTCAAGTGCTTGCGCCACATGGTTTGATGTGCATGTCCCTCATAGCCTATTCAGGCTTCCTGCTTTGCTCCTTGCCATTAAATTGATTTTCAGACTTGCTCAGTAGTGTGGCAGTTCTCTGATCTTTGCTATTGCTACTGCCTTGCTTCAGAGGTGCAAATTAGAAGCTGGTGGCATGAAAGAGGGAGGTGGAGCAGTGTATTGTTTCTGTCCAGAAGAACAGAGAGCTGTGGGAAGAGCAGGATTTAACAGTTACTGGGACAGCAAGGGGGAGAGCTGTTCTGGGAATTTACTTTCACTTGAAAAAAATGCCTTTTTCCCAGGTTGTGAAATTCAGGAAGTGATGTACATGCTAAGACTAGCAATTGTAATTTGTTTTATAACAGGTGAAAACGTTCTGGATATATATTGTGAAAAGTCATGAAGTGCAGAAAATTAATTGACCTATTAGATTTTGGCTAAGTTGTTTACATTTATTCTTTACAAGCTAAATGGAATTATATCTTTATACATTGTGTTAGTAAAAAGACCAAAAGGTAGAGAAAAGATTACAAATAGGAAACTTTATAATGCACAAAACTTCCTAAGAAGCAGCAAATTAAGCAGCTCTGGGTCTGTCTGTACTGTTCTAGAAGGTTGTGTAGATACTTGATGTAGATACCAAACCTTCAGAAGCTTTGGTATCAGATTGCAAGACTACAAAGAAGAATTCTATCAAAACTAGCTTTGTAAACAATTCTTTAAGATACCTGTTCAGTTTGGTATTTGCTTGTATGTTGTACTTAACAGTTCAGTGCTTTTCTTTTAACTGCATGTTCTCTACCCATCAGTAGGCATAATTACCACTAATCAAGACCCCTAATCTCAAGCAATTATAAACTCTTACATTGTTCTAATTGCACATTTGAAAATAATGTCATTTTCTCATGTAATTATGAGATGATCCATACAATTAATTTCTGCTTTTCTTTTTATCTGATCAGTGTTAATTTTGTGTGACCTCACAATGTGTTATCTGAAAAATGCCTTTGAGACTTGCAGTTTTTCTGGTTAATTTATGGTTGTGTTTCATATTCAGTAAGGAGGGATACAGTGCAAGAAATTTTCAAGGCTGTGCTTTCAACCTTCTATGAACTGAAAAATTTGTTGTATATTAGGAACTTGTTGGTGAAACAGAAGTGCAATTATCCATTTAAATCATCTACTCTTTGCAAATCCAGGTGCTTGCTCTTTGGATAGTACTTAGGTTAGTGCAGTATGTAAAAGGGGTTTATTTTGATTTTTTAATTGTTAAACTGGAATTTACATGCAGACAGACTTTTTTGACCAGCTTTCCAGGCAGCAAAAGTGAGGGCCGTTCATTTTCAGAAAGGACTGCTAGTCCTGGGGGCAGAATGTGACAGATTGTTCACGAGCTGATGTTGGTCTCACCTGCTGCTGTGTAGTTCTGCACACCTCTTGTGTGCCAGGCCATTGCATGAATGTGTTTTGAACAAATCATCCTCAATCTGTTGATTCATCTCAGGAACCAAATGCAGCACTTATGTCTGTAAATGGGATAATTGTAAACCTCTCATTCTTACAGACAGAATTTCTTCCTGTTATAATTCTAAAATCAGACCCCAGATCTTTTACTGTGGACCTACATTGGCTTGTATTTATTTCTCTATTCTTACTTGTTACATCACTAAAAATAGCAGATCATTTGGTGACCTTAGCAACCTGTGTCTGACCTTCATGATTCACTTGTGGGTAATTTGCTGCTGCAATTATTATGGTCCTGTCTGTGATGTTATTTAAACACTGGTTTAAGTGACTGCAGTGTAAATGAGCAGCCACATTATTGGAGACAACATGTTTTTCTTTATTGTAAGAAAAGAATATTTGCGTCAGGGGGTGAGTGCCACATCATTTCTGAGGGATCTTGACATTCCTGGAGAAGAAATGCTGGAGATTTTGCTCTGTCATTAATAGCCCAACTTTCTTTCTTTAGTAGAGTGTGTGTTTCTGAAATCATTCTAGGGCTGCAGTCTACTGCAGTGGGTTCATTTCATTATTCCTTTGAAAGTAAGAAGAGGCACACAGCCAGCTACTTCTGTGCAGAAGAGCTCAAGGTTTAATATGCTAATGTATCTACCCAATATTAGGCTGCAAAAATCCTTGGCTTTGATGTGTCTTTAATAGTAATAAAATGGTTGGCTAATGATAAATTAAGGATGTAAGTTTGGGAATTAAAAAAAAAAATCTAGGCAGGAATAATTTTCCTTGCCAAGATAATTGTCATACTGGAACCGCAGTTTGCAGTGGAAATTCCTTGCTTTATAATAATCAAAATATACAATCAAACTTCTGGCTTTTCTTTAGGCTTCACATTAAAGCTGGACTTTAATGGGACTGAGTGGGGACTGCATTTTATCTTTGCTGGCCTGGAGCTGTACGTGCCAAGGTACTGACCCCCAGGTCTCACTGTTGCCAGAGAGCAAAGATAAAAATCTGCTTGCCATCCTCTCTGTCACCTGTTTCAGTGCTGGGCTGGCTGCCTTGTGCTGCTGCAGTCTCCTGTAGGGTCATGTTTGCATCTGCATAACAGAGAGCAAACCAGGACTTATTCAGGGATAGGTAATACTGTTCTAATACAAAAATACTCATGGATTAAGGAGCTGTTATGGTAAATCAGTTTTGTAAAGCATTTTATCATTCTTCACTAATCACTGGACTGCCTGGTATAGTTTTGTTCAAGCACAAGTTTAGGTTAAACACGGAAAATATATGTTTCTGGTCACTGTAATAATGTTCTCCCTTCTGAGAGAGCACATTTTTCTGCATATTTTTATAGCTGTTTGTACAGAGGAATAGATGGAAAAAGGGAGAGCTGTTCTCTACAGAAACTCATAAAAAGGAAAGTCATGCAGCATCAAGAAGGAATTCTACAGAAAATCAGCAGTGTTAAGGCCTTGAGCAAACCTTAACTTAAATCACATCTCTTGATGATCAGGGCAAAGACAGTCCCATAAGTTCCTTTTGCACAATATCAAAGGTTTTTGTTGGTCATAGAACCCTACAGCATCTTAATTGCCTAAAAGATATCTGCCTATAACACTCCCCTGAATAAATAGCTGCATTCTCAAGGGAAGAAGTGGGGTGATTTATTTTAATAGCTGGTGAGGGAGTAAATAAACAGTAAAAAGGGGTACTTCAGTAAAGCAAAATATCTTTTTTTATAAATATGTCTTCTCATTGACTTATTTTTATTTCAAGTGTAAGAGATATGATACTCACAATTTAGTGCTTGTTTTGGGGGGCAGGAAATGATTAAGAGGAAGAAGTTACTCAGCAAGCCAGAGCACTTACGGGTGGTTATCATCACATCTGCAATCTGACTGTTCCTCTCCCTTTACAGCCAACCTGTCACATATCACTGACCTGATTCATGATGTAGGAGAGCTCCCCTTGAGGCTTCCTGTCTCTCCATTTCATCCAGGGCTGGACTGGCTGGAAGAGTCTCAGCCCCAGCCTCTGCAAGCCATCAAAGCTGGCTCTGGGGCTGCCACCAGCTTGCTGTTCTGTCTTGGCCTTCAGCAGATGGAGCTTCTCAAGTCCTGTGTGTTTTCATCTGCTCCTCTCCACGCTTGGAAACACTGCCTTTTTTTCTGCCTAGTGTTTATTCTTAAACCCATCTTGATGAACCAGCTGGCTTCACAACTGTGTTGTGTGAATTCAGGAGGGCTGTGCAAAGGTCTGCCTCTCAGGGCTCCAGCTCTTGCCTCAGGCCTTGCTGTTCTTTTGCCTGAAGAATGTAAAATGTAATGCGAGTTTTTATGTATTATTAAACTTATGTCTATAAATTACTGACCCATGGTAGCTGTTTATTACATATTCCATCTTCTGCTTTGATGCACTGCTGCTGTCACTCGAGGTGGGTAACGATGACTCAGCTTACTGCTGTGATAATGCACTTAAAGCCTGGAAATCTGTCACTGATGGTATTTCAACACAGGTGCTATAAACCTGAGATGAAAAATTAAAGTATTTGCTGTCAAGCTATTTCTCTTAAAATTCTTCTGTCTCCTGTTGTGGTTTTGTAAGGTTTTGGGTACTGCTGAGTTGTTTGATGAACAAAGTCAAACAGTCATGTTTTAGGAGATCTGTGATGCAGGACATGCTCTCACAGAAGCAGGTGGTGGTCCTCAATTTGCAGTGCTAAAGGTGACCTATAAAATGCTTGTGCTCATCAGGCCTTCCTAATAAAGCACCAATATTTGCATGCGTTTTTATGACCTAGCCTTTCCAGCCTTAAAGCCCAGTGGAACACAGACTGATCACCACATCTTACCATGTATTTTCTCTGTGGTTTTTCTTCTTTTTCACAGCCCTTCTGTATGCCACCATTTTTGGTAACGTGACAACCATATTCCAGCAGATGTACGCTAACACAAACAGATACCATGAAATGCTGAACAGTGTCCGGGACTTTTTGAAGCTCTACCAGGTCCCCAAAGGACTGAGTGAACGTGTGATGGATTACATCGTTTCCACCTGGTCAATGTCCAGGGGAATAGATACTGAAAAGGTAAGTAAATTAAACTGCAAGGAAAGATGTCACATCCTGAAAGTAGTCCATTAAAATAAACAGGAGGTACTGTCTTAGTAAAGGAGACAAATATTCTTTAAATAGTTCTAAGCAGCAGCTTCCCTTAATTTTTAACTTTTAAATGCCGTATTTCAGCTATTCTGTCATACTGACATATGATAGTGGTAAAAGTATGTATGTTTTGCCAGTGAAATGGCATGAAATAGTATAAAAATGATAAAGAGAAAAAGCTCAGTTTACTATAAATAAAGGTGATAAGTAAATAACAAGTTCCAGACTGTAACACAACCTCACAGTTTTTCCAAATGAGATTTTTTTTGCAGTATTTCTTGTGAGGTTGCTTGCAGCTCTGTGGGCCTGAAAACAAGGGAATTTTTTTTTGTCGTTGGAGAGTTTGAATGTAATATTCTGTGTGCAGGTTAAAGATATTAATGAAAGCTGGAAGTATTTATTAACGTATTGCTTGAAATCTACCTTGTGTAAGGCAAGTGTTATCATTCTGATTCATTGAATTGATGAATAAATTCCCATTGTGTCTTTTAAAATAACAGATGGCCTTTCACCAGAACAAATGTACAAATCTAGCTCCTTGTCGCTTTCATATTAGTTGCCAATTTTTGTGGGGATAGACAGTTTTTCTTCTGCTTGTAAAGAGATGTGGTTTGTGGGGTGGATCATTCAGGAAATCATACCAATGCTCTGGTCACCAGCCTTCTGGTTGGCAGCTTAATTTAGCATTCTGAACTGTGGATGATGCAGTTAAAGAGCAAACAGTGTCAGTTCTGTACAGCTGTTACAGCATCGTTATGAAGCAGGAGAACAGATGTGGCCTTGCACTGAGCTGCCTGGAGACTGAGGGGCACACAGGGCACTGTTTGCTTTCCTAAATGGTCTTCAGCCAATCTGCCATTTTTAGATCCCAGACATGATTCTGTAAGCACTGTCTGCCATACTAGCTTTCAGAAAGAAATTATATTTTAGTGCTGGATAGCACTGGTTAGAAGCTGTTCTGCATGTTTTCTCACAATCTGTCTTTGAGTGGGGTTGTGATTTGAGGTAGGTGCATTTGGAGAAGGTGGAGAGACATCTGAGGCTACATAGTGTAATGAGTGCTGGTGCTTTCATTCAGCCCCCATTACAAACTCCTGTCATCATTTTAACAAAACAACAAGAAAAAATTGCTATGTAAAACATGTTGTTGTTTTTTTTTTTAGCATATCTTCAAAGTTCATTCTTGGCTTCCTTTGATAAGGAGAGAAATGCTTTAAGAGGATGCATTTGGAGACAGCAGAATAACCAAACCAAGCACAACAATATTCAGTGTAACCTTTCAGAATTATCTTAATAAGCAGGAAAGAAGTCTCCAATTGTCAGGACACCAAAGAGCTTAATACAGTGCTGTTTTCAGTAACTGGGGTGTTCATAGCTGAGCTGCTGCTGGCCATGACTGCTAAACCAAGAACTCAGCTTTCATCTGCACAGCAAAAGCTTGGTTGGCTGTGCCAATCCATAAACTCCCAGGTCTGAGCTCTGTTGTTTTGATGCCTGTGCATAACTTCTGGGATGTTTTGTCATGAATAAAACATGTATTGCTCATGAGCAGAACAGTGGTACTTGTGCTCCTCTGAAATGCAGTGCAGCTTCCTACAGATGAGGCAGAGACTTAAATATGAACTGAGCACAGAACTGGTCCTGTCACTATTTTGTAGGCCACGAATTTGTCAGTTCAGTGTTCACTGCAGACACGCTAAGTTATTGGTTTAGAAAATGCCAGGACAACAAAATTTAACCGAGAGCTACTGAAAGATTCTAAAATTGATCCATGAAGATACATTTCCCACCTCCCTTACAAATGAAAGTCTTCTTCCATTTATCCGTAGATCTCAAATGTCTTTAATCGCTTTCATTTTTGTGAAGTCTGGAGACAACTTCTTTAAATGGAGAATGAAAATTTGGTTAACTTCCTCTAAGACTGCTATACCAAAAAGTTTTTGGATAATAGCATCATTTCAAATATTCTTTTGTATACTCGGGGGGGTTTGCTGCTATTTCTATTGCAACAACCCTTTTTGTGTGTGATATTCAGGTAACTGGAAAGTGTGTGTGTAATTCCAGTAGTAAAATTTGGCAAGAATATGCCGCTAGAGAGTATTTTATCACCAGGGTAAATGAGATAATGGAAAAGACAGATATGACCGCTGCCTGTGTTCCCTGTTAAATGCTGGCCTTGCTGTCCCAGCTCATTTCTGTGAGCCTGGAAAACTGGGAACAGGCAGGTTTGGCAGCTCTTCTGTACAGGGCAGCCAAGAAAAATCATCCCCGAGTGCCCTACACCTAAGCACTATACAAATACATCTCTTTTAAGAAGTTATATCTGTAATAAAATGTCTGTTTGGAGGTGGGCCAAAGATGTTTATATCGGTGGTGGAGTTATTTGCCTTTGGAGTACCAGGCATGATATCTGAAACCAGTGCCATGCACAGAATTAATAGCTTGGTTCTCTGCTCAGATCTTGCACAGAACCCCATTTCAAAGTGCAGGCATAGCCATAGTGCTTTCTGTGTTACTTTTGTGTTTTTCAGGAGTATTTGCAGTGTGACAGTCTTCTCTTTCCACCTAGGAAAATGTGTGGGAGTAACTCTGAAGCTCGACTGGAGTGCTCCTTAATTGGATGGAGTAGTTATTACTAAGAAAATAATAATAAAAAAAGAGGCAGACTCAGACTACTCGATGTTCTTCTCAAATAATATGTCCTAGACATGCTTCATCATAGACCATCCCCCAAGGATTTTGTTATCCCCAAACCCTGCTCATGTCACTTCTTTCCACTTTTAATCTGCACATGCAGCAGTGATTTGGTATTCTTTCCACTTGGCTGTCTGTATTATATTAAAACCCTTCAGAAATGGCCCTGGCTGGTACCCGCTGTGCTGAGCATCAGTTCCATCAGCTCGGGTTCTCTTAGGACCACACATCATGAATTGCCATGAGGAACATTCCGTTTGGAAGATCAAAAGCTGCCCAAAGCAGCATCACACCTTAAAGTCCCTTTCCTGTGTAAACAAAAAACTTGTTAGTGCCACTCGGGGGTAAATTTGGATACCTGCAATTCTCAATGTTATGAGTTAATTAAACTTTAAGTAATTTGTTTTAGTTGTTAAAGCATATGACTTGTGCAGGCTTTTCATGGAATCTGCCTATCAAAAAAATTACCTACCCTCTAGAAACAATCATTCTGGAAGCTTTTCTTCAACACTTTCGGTACTGCTGGGCCCTAAGTTTTTTTGTCTTAAAAACCTTAGGTCTTCAATATCCAGCAGAGCATGTTGCTGAAAGGAAAACTGTGTTTTCCTTCAGATGTTGTAAGGTAGACTAAGTTAGTATTGTTGCTTATGTGGATAAATAATATAAAAATAAACTCTGAGATTGGAAATAAGAAGGAGGAAGGTGGTTCTTAAACCTTGCGTGGTAACCTAGCCATAGCAGGCAGGTAGAAGCTATGTGCAGTAGCTGATTGCCCCCCTGGTTTCCCTCTCAGGTTTTGCAGATCTGCCCTAAGGACATGAGAGCAGATATCTGCGTTCACCTGAACCGCAAGGTTTTCAAGGAGCACCCCGCCTTCAGGCTGGCCAGCGATGGGTGCCTGCGGGCGCTGGCCATGGAATTCCAGACGGTGCACTGTGCTCCGGGAGACCTCATCTACCACGCCGGGGAGAGCGTCGACAGCCTCTGCTTCGTGGTCTCGGGCTCCTTGGAAGTGATCCAGGATGATGAAGTCGTTGCTATATTAGGTGAGTTTCAGAGCTGGTAATGTGCACATGCATAAATGCAAACATGTGTGTGGTGGTGTTCACAGGGGTCCCAGGACGAGGGAAGAGATGAGACTCCAAGTTTCAGAAGGCTGATTTATTATTTTAGGATATATATTATATTAAAATGATATATTAAAACTATACTAAAAGAATAGAAGAAAGGATTTCATCAGAGGGCTAGCAAGAAAAGGAATGGAATGGAATGATAATAAAATCTTGTGACTGACCAGAGAGTCCAAGACAGCTGGACTGTGTTTGGCCATTAATTAAAAACAACCACGTGAGACCAATCACAGATCCACCTGTTGCATTCCACAGCAGCAGATAATTATTGTTTACATTTCATCTCTGAGGCCTCTCAGCTTCTCAGGAGAAAAAATCCTAGCAAAAGGATTTTTCGTAAAATATGTCCATGATATGTGCAGCAATTTATAGCCTCCTCTACTCTTTCTTTAAAGAGATTAAGTAAAGTGTGTTTTTCCATGGAGAGGTTTAAAGGGCAACCATCTAATATCCAGATTGCTTCAACCTGTTTCATCTGGTCAATGGAAACCTTACTTTTGTGTGGTGTCCTGGTCATTCTTGGGGTTTTCCCTGTCTTGATACATCCCTTCTGTTGGGGAGGATGAAACAGGAAAGCCTTGTAAATATGATTGCCTGGCAAAAGATTTTGAGAATATGGAAACCATAAGTGAGATTGAAATGAAAGCAAGCTTTGAGATACTTTAGTTACTGAACAACTGGAAAACAATGGTGTGGCCAGCTGAAGGTAATCCTCTTTTGATGAAACAATTCCCTCTGCTTGCAGACAGGTCCAAGGGTCAGAGCAGACCCTACTAGCTTGGCAGAAGGAGTCCAAAGAGTACTTTTAAGAGTTTAAAATGTAACACAGTATGATAATGTAATGATTCTTATAGGCTATATGTAAATGCTACAGGATTTTTATATTGTACTAGATTGGTTAGTAAGAATTAGAATATTCAACACAGAAGAAGACTTATTGTATTGCAACAGGAACCTCACTCCCTCTCATCCTCTTTACCACACTCTTGCCTTCTTTCTCTTTACTGCTCTCTTTACCTCTCTCTCCCTCTTTGGGACTTGCTCTGCAGCTGGCAGCTCCAAGCAGGGCCCTGCACTTGGCCCTTTGCAATAAACCACAAGTTCCAAGACCTGCCTTCAGAGATCTCTCATCCCGTCCATCCTGACCGTCCTGCCTCCCGTCACTCCTACACCTTCTAATTAGAAATTCCATTTAGAACTTCAGAAAACTTGAAGTGCCTGCCTCAGTCCCACATCCCCCCCCTCCAATAATAATCCACTTTTGCTGGAATTTTTCCAGTTAGATTTATTTAAGATGTTGTGTTGCAATACTATTTATCTATTTTAAAGTCAAAATAGTCTAAAACATTTAGAGCTGATTTGTGTTAACTTGGGTTGGAGGCATTGAAAATAAACTGATGGAGTGTAAACAGCATTCTGAGGCAAAGCTAACAGAAAAGAATGTGATAATCCAATAGATGTAGATGAATCATGGGGTGGCTGAAGCATTGAGGAGGTGATACTTATCATTTGATTCTGTCAAGCCCTTTTGTGATAAGGTAAATTCTCATGGTGGCTTAATCCTGTAACTGTCACTCATCGCAGCCTGGAAAAAGAGAATAAAACATCTTGGTTATCTTACTTTTTTCTGAACACATACACTCAACTCTCCTAAGATGAATGTCTACTGAAAAATGAGGGGGCTAATAAATATGCTGAGCTTCATTTTTCTCTACTTTTGAATACGATTGCTTGTATAACACAGGGTAAATTTAGAGTCATGGAGATCAAGTTGATAACACTTTGTGCCACACAAGAAGCTAAAAAAGTGAGAAGTTGGAAGATAACTAATTCCCTTTTGTTCTGGAATCACCTGTGCTGCTCAGTGCTAAATGAGATTTGTAACTTCTGCTTGTCTGCTGCACATCAAGAACTTGCTACCTTTTGCCATGTTGAACTCTCGTGAATTAACAAATGACAAATGTAGTACACAAACGAAGACCCCTCAGTTTGTGTATCTTTATGCCACCACCTGGATTCAGCATGAGCAGAAAACCTCAAAACATCTTGCTGCTCTATTTGAGTATGGGTAAAAAAGCACTAAGATCAAATTTCCTTAAAATGTTCTTTAAAGATACCAATTTCCTCCTCATCTTTCCTGCTAACTCCTGCATTTTATCATAACACTCACTTTAGAAAACCCTCAGCTAAGACTGCCTGAGGAATCAGTGTTAAGGAAACCTAACTCCTAATTTCTGCTGCTGCAGAGTGATAGCTACAGATAAATGAGGCTGTTCCCTTGGGATCTGGATGAATAGAAGTATTTTGTTGCTGCTCTTCTCCTGGGATGTAACTATCGATTCTCTTCCCACCACAACTTTTTATTTTCTTCTTTTTCTTTCTTTTTCTTTTTTAAAATTTGGAGTCAGTTCTCTGGCTCTCGCTAAAGTTGATGAGTTTTATTCACATTTTCTTTGTGAATATTTTAAGTGGAAAGTAAAACAAAGTGGGATCTTTTTGGGATTCTGTGAGATTTCATTTTGGATGTGCATCAATTTTTGTGCTTGTTTCTGGACTAAGGAATCCCTTTCCTTCCACACTTGTGTCCCCCTTCCTCCTCCAGGCATTGAAGACTTCTGCTGAAGGTTTCTCTATTCTGAAAAGAAATTATGTATTTAACTAAGTTTTTCACTATTCTGAATCAGTTGTGCTTCTTTTTCCTTCAACATTGTGTAATTTAATCCCCACACTTCTGAAGGATATGCCAGGAGATGGGTCAGGGTTTCCTCTCTAACTTCTTTGTACTCTGTTTTCTTATCTGTAGAAAAAGTGTTTTGGAGTGGGGTTTTTTCTTGTGATTTTTGTTTGTTTTGGGAGGTTCTTTTTTTTTGTTTCTTTTTATTTTCATAGTTAGCTAAACTTGCTGAGTTCTTGATGAATGTATACCAGAAAAAACAAGGCACTACAAGGGGGGGAAAGAAAGTGCATTGTACAAGAAACATGATTTTTGCTGATCACTCAGCCAGAGCAACCTATGCCATAAATTTTGTTTACCAGTCCCAACCAAGCATAGCTGTGAATATCAGGCGCATAACAGCAACCCATGTGAGGAATTCCATAGGGTAATTTTAGTTGACAGGTATGTTACAGAGACTGTAATCTTCTTTCAGGCATTCTGGAAATGAAAATGAAAAAAATAAGTGCACAAATTATTCAAGGTGAATTATTTGCTCAACTCTGGCTGTCATGTAATAAAGCAGCTTTTGTAGCTTGCATTGTAGCCTGTATCTTCCTTACAGTGGAGAAATGAATTTTAACTCTAAATCAGTCTATGTGACTGCTGCACAGCATTACATAAACCAAAGGCAAACTGCACTTAATGCTTAAAGGATCCAATTCATAGGAAACATTTTTGACTTCTGAAATCATTTAACCTTGCAGACTGGCATATAAGAGTGTATTGTGCAGCCCTGGAGTGTATTGTGTACACTTGCATAATATCCTTCTAAATCATTTCCATGTAATACCCCAGAAACAGGTATATTCTCAGTTCAGGCTTATGTTCTTAGAACAAAGCACTGACTTTGATTGACTTGGATTAATATGAGTCCTGAGTTGGAAGAAATTGCACATAGGCCAGCAGTGAAAAAAGGCACTTTTTTGTGTGTCCCCTAAGATTGCCTTTCCCATTAATTTAAATTGAGACACAAATACAAAAATATGCAAATTCAAAATAAAATCAACCCCAAACCTTTGCCTGTTTTAGTAAAAATTTAAAGAAATTGGTGCACTCTGTATGAAGTTTGATTTGTTGGGATGAAATATACAGGTTTTGAATTCTATGCAAAATTTATACTAAAATACAGGAATCACTGGTGTTCACACAACACAATCTTTGGATTTGGTGTGTCAAAGAAACAGAAACAAAAATGTAGAAAACGACCTCTCAGCCAGGTGATTGATGTATTTGTGATTCATTCCAATACAAATGAGTCAGAAAAAAAAGACTTAGCAAGAAAAGCCTCTCTCTTACTATGTTTTCTATGTTAATGTGTAAGTATGAGAGTGGGATTATGTAGAAGGGAAGTTCAGCTGGTGGGAAGCTGCCTGGATGAGGCACAATGAATTCTGGTTTTGGGAGTTTGCTGTTCTTGCAGTGACGCTGCTGTTGCTGCGTGGGATGAAGTGCTGACGTACACTCAGCACTTTGAGGAAGACTGAGACAAATCACACAGTCCCTGCCCTGAAGAGATCTGAGTGAAGCAGAGGTCAGGCAGGGCTTCCATTAAGAGAATGTTTTCAACTTGGCTTTGCTTTTAACTTCCCTGAGCCCTCCCACTTGGCCTGATGCTGCTTTATCCACCTGAGTCTCTTTGAACTACTCTTGCTTAAAGACTTTGCCATTTATCTTGATGTGGTTAGAAAAAATAAGAAGGTTTGTTTCCTCTGTTAAAAACATTCAAGTGTTTATGTGCACTTCATTTGGCAGCTCTGGTTTCTCTGTTTTGGAGCAGATCTTTCAGGCTAAGACCCTGAACATCTGAAAACCTGATTTTACTGCAGTTCTTTGAAAAGTTTAAGCCCATTCGTGCTCAGGAGATTGGCTGTGTTTTAATTTATCAAATAACTTCTTGAAAATATTCCTCCTGAATTAACTGTGTTCCAGGCACAAACCATAAGGTCTGACTGCAACTTTCTTTGGAGTATGCAGGAGAAAAGGCACTTTGCTGTTCTCTAGTCATTTAGTCTGAACCTTTTCAATCTCTTCTCACCATTGCTTGAACAAGAGCTGATTCCTGTGCTATGTCTCCAACTGTGTGTGTGCTTAGATAATTCAATGAAAATTACAGAAAAGAATATCATTAGCAGCAAAAATAACATTTTGTATGTATTTTCTGGAAATACATGGAAGGGCTGGATAGGAGACCTTGTTAGTA